TAAGCAAGCACTACATTATGATTTTGTAGTTAAAAAAAAAGTTGACAAAGAGACTTTACAACCCACTCAAACTTAAGACATGGTGGGTATGTATTTATACAGTCATAGCCCTCCCTTTTTATGTATTAAGTCTCTTGGACTATTTTGCTTCAATCAGATTGATTTTACATATAATTTAATGATCTATTCATACCATAAACAAGCAATTAGATATCCTAGAACACATCTTTTCCATGATTGTTCTATCTCCAGTAACAAAAATTTGAACAAATTTGTTACTGGGCGACAAGTTCTTTTTCAAACTAGAATTAATGCCATAGGTGCAGCTTCTTTGTACCACATGGCCCCTATTACCTATGACCACAGATACAGAGTGTTCAGAATTGGGCAAAGAATAGGAGTCAGAAACATCTCTGTTACAAAGCAACCACTGTCCCTGACTAGCCATTTTACTCCTCAGCAAGGTACACACAACCTGACTCTCAGATTCCTTTTCTGTGAAGTGGGAATATATCTTCCTCATGGGGTTGTTGTGATTGCTTTTGGTTGCATTATTTAACTAAATAAAAGAATACAAGGCAAATGCTTCGCACAGAGTAGGCACTCAATAAGTAGCTATTATTGTTATACACACTTATTCTGTATATTTGTAATATCTGTAGTTTCTTCAACTACTTAAAACATCATCACCATAGCATTCATTCTTTCCCATCTCACCTCTTGTTTAGAGCATAATGAACAAAGGGCACAACATTTTCCATACAAGATTGTTCCGAATACCTAGCTGGGTATATTATTGTTAAGTACACACACACACACACACACACACACTCTCTTTCTCTCTCTAATTTGGAATGCTATTGACCTCATCTGGAAACCTCAGAGTCCTTTTCCTTTATTAATGCTTCTTCTCTTTCATTTCTGCTGTCTAGTTAGGTTCCACATGGTGTGTATGCTCTCATCCCTTACACTCTGTCCTGTGGCCACCACCTTAGTGGATGCACTCATTGCTTCAGGCATGAGCTACAAAGCTCTTTTCTTCACTTTCTTCCTCCTCCAGTTTAACTATACACTACCACTGATTTCATTATGTTGTTCCTCTATTTCAGAAATTCCAATAGCTTCCCACTAACCACAGGGGAAAAAAAAAAAAACTGTCTATGCTTCTCTGCCTAGTGATCTGGCTCCAGCCCCCATGCAATCTTTCTTACCTCCCACAAGTTCCCAGCATGCTTCCACTGGGTTCACTTTATTACTCACTAATTTTTCCTTTTAAGCCTTGCTCATGTTGTTTTCATCACTGGATTACTTTGCCCACTTTCTTCTGCTTATCCAAATCCTATCATTTTTCAGTGGCCAGCCAGCTTAAATAATTACCTTTACTTCAAGGCCTTTCTTCATAGTTCTGCATACAGTGATCTTCTTTCTCTAATCTCCAATAGTACAAATTGTTTCTATGGCTCATTGTGGCTTTTACATATTGCTTTGCTTTTCATGTGTTAACCCTGCATACCCCGGGGCAGAGACCACTTTTTAAAACCTTGTCTTTTTGCATTTTCTGTAGCACCTAGTACAAAGCTAAACATAAAAGATGTCCAATAACTTGTAGTTACATTTTGTCCCAGGGACTCCATCAACCCCATTTATACACACCTGATAAGCAAACTTCTCATTCTTGTTACTAAACTCCATCAAATCCTCTCCACACACATTATGCTCACCCTCAAGCTCTTCCTCTTGTCTTCTATTACAGGCTAACATCCCTTTAAAATTCTCAACTAATTTCCTCCCATTTCTCTTCACCACCCTGACCTAAGTCAAATCTAGCTCTTTCTTGAACCCACTGTACCGGTACCCTATCCAGATGGTTCTACCCCATGTAGAACCTCTCTCTTCTGTTCACCTGATTAGGTGCAGAAGTAAAAAGTCAAATTTGTCCTCACTGACACCGTTATTTCTGCCCCACCTCTGAGCATTTTCTTCTTTCTCATTCACCACTTTTTTAAACATCTGCAACACATCAATAACTAATTTATAATATTCCACTCCAATCCATCAACCTCAGTAAATTTAATATTCATATTATCAGCCCTTCACATTCATACACTACTTCAAATTCTTTATTCTGCTTGACTCCATGGACTTGCATCACCTCTCCACAGCAGCAAGGCCAAGACCCAAACACTGAAAGTCTCTGAGGGCTCTATCTTGAGCCTCTTGTGCATCTCCAACTGGAACCACTTTCACTGCCATTTCTTTCAGTTCCCCACCATGCCTGATTTCTGCTGTCTCTCGTTCACTTAATCCATACCTGTCACAAGTTCATTTCAAATGCTGCTCCACAAACTAAGTAGATTTGGGAGATGGTAATTTAAAAATACAGATTCCTACACCTCGCCCATGGAGCTTTTAATTCGTTATATAGAGTGTTAAGTTTCAATCTTGGTATACCCGGGGAATTAAATTAAAAAAAAGATGACTGAGCAACATCACCAGAAATTCTGATTTAACAAGCCTGCATTTGGGTCTGGATAATGATGGCTTTAAAAGTTCCTTAGTTAATTCTACTGTGCATCTAAGGTTGAAAACCGGTGCTCTAGGGTGAGATGTAGGAATGAGGACTTTAACATGCTACCAAGGTAACTCTGCGGTCAGTCAGGCTTGAAACCACTGTGTTAGGCACCTCCTCACTAGCTGGAATGGACTTCCTTCATGCTTAGATGGTCTTAGGATAAAACACTTTAGGGCTGTCCTTTCCAGCATTCTTTCTCCCACCCCATACCTGTCTGTAAACATACACGATATAGCCTAAATCTTCAACTTTAATTAGGATCACTGTAAACTGACCTTCTATTTATTTATAATATTTATATTATTTTATTCATATATATTCATTTACAAATGTGACACAATGGTTTTCTGAAAAAGCCACTATTGTAGGGTCACAAATTGAGTCATAGACACAAACTAGACAGACAGAACCATTAGGCTGGGGCAAAAAGGAAGAATAACTGGAATGTCTCAAAGAAAAAGTTATTGATGACAATTAGGTTCATAAGCAAACCTCTAGGAGCTCTGTTTAATCTATAGGAGGCTGAAAAACAACTCAAGAGGCCATAAGCTGTATTTCCCTGCCCACCTACCTCACACACCAAGATCTCCTTCCCCTCCCCACACATACCACGGCCTTCCTAGCCGCTGTGAAAGTCAATCACCACCCCAGTTCTCCTGGATTTCTTATCCTTTGGATGGACTAAGGACCAAGCATAGATTTTCTACATTTAAGCTTTTCACTGCTATAGCTCTGAATTCTAGCTTTGAAGTCTCTCTTTGACAAACACACACACACACATTCTGCCACAGATCCTGTCATAAATTCTGTTAAAAGAAAACCTGTCATAAAAAATCAATGGTACTGACTCTGAAAGACTTTATAAGGCACAAGCAAGGCTGAGGCAGGAGAATGGCTTGAACATGAGAGGCGGAGATTGCACTGAGCCGAGATCGCGCCACTGCACTCCAGCCTGACGACAGAGCAAGACTCCGTCTCAAAAAAACAAAACAAAACAAAAAAACCCTCAAGTTTTTTCATATTTATCCTTATCCTCTTCTATTCCAACTTATATCTTTTCAAAGTTTAATTCAAGATTTTTTTTTCTTGAATATAGTCTTCTCTTTGTCTAGTAGTACAAGTCCATAATCCTCTATTTACAATTTTAAAGTCCTATAAATTCTTGAAACTGAAATGTTTTTGCAACTCATTTGGTGCCAAAAACATACACCTGATCTGAACTGACATGACGCTACTTTTTTCCCTTTAGCATGAACACATACATTTCACTGCAGTTATTAATATGCTTGATTAGAGAGAACTGCCTAGGACCTTACTGTGGGTATTAAATAATATATGATATATGTACCTAATTACCTTTCTAAAATCTGAAAAACTTGAAATCCCAAAGCAGACTGTAGACTTGTATCGACACTTGCAAATTTTTATTCCAAAACGGCAATTTTTCAGTTACACTGAGATAAATAGGTTTTTGGGAGAGCGTTTGCTTGAGGACCTAAATCCACTCATTTAACTGTTTCTGTAAGTACATACATTTACTGTTTTAAACAACCAACATATAAAGGAACTGCTGTAATTCTGTGAGTTGAAGACTTCCTATACAAAATCTGAAAACCTAGGGTACCAGCAGCAGGAACCAGATCTCCAAGCTGCTGGGTGACAAATTTCTTCAAAGCATTTCCCAGGGTAATCCTTAACCCCAGCTCCAATCTACCAATCAATTGTAACTACGCTTTTAAATGTGTATCATTACTGTTCACAATTTGCTGCATCGATTTAAAGAGCTTGTTTTAACAATTTCCAGTTATCAGGGCCCTCAGACATTTTTGAAAAACCTACCAAATCCAAAAATTATTCCTAACACCAATACAGTACTTAACGAAGAGTGAGCTATTTTAGTAAGTTCTTAGTCATTTAAGAGGGAGGTTTTAAGAAATGAATTGCAAGTAGGAAAAAATAAAATGTATAATGTTCACTAAACTTTTACTATTTTTCCACACACAGCTGCTTGACAAGTCATGATCTTTAAATATATCAAAGTAAACTTTCAAAAAGTACTTAAATATTATGTCAAAATAAAAAATTGCAAAAGCCGAGTTTTTTTTTTTTCTTTAATTGTGCTTCGAATTAACCAGTCACAACCACCAGTAAAAATAGGGAAAGAGGGGGAGGGGGCTGTCCCATGACATCATCTGGCAATATGTAGTTTGAAGCCTGAGAGCGCTCTCCAAATAACCCTTACGAAGATACAGCTGGGAAATCATCCCTGTTAAGCTTAGATAACTTGGGTTTAAATACAAGGTTCAAAAAGCCTCCCCCCACCTGAGTCACATGTCTGTACCATATGAAAAATAAAACCATTACTGATGCATCTACCTCCCACTACCCTGACAGCAACGGAAAGGTCACAATTAAGTGGAAACTCGCCGCACAGCCTGTTTAATCTGAAGGGGGAAGGGAAAGAAACGCGAAGAAAAGGACAAAAATCTGCGCGCCTCCAAAGCAGGCAGGCACCTCCGTGGAAAACCCACTCCCGCCTGCTGACACCTATGCTCATCCAACAGATCATGCCGACTCAAGATGCAGGTAATTCTCTTAGATAAAGTGGGGGCCCAAACCCCAGAAAATAACGCAAACATCCAGCGGAACCGACCACCCCCAACATTTCCCGAGGGTGGAAGATGTAGCTCGCGAAGTGTTCTGGGCTGCCCACGAGGCACAACTCTTTCATTTCTGCCCAAGGAAGGGCGGCCTGGGTTCCTCTCCCTGGAGTGCCAGGGGGTGCCCAGGGGAGACGCGGGCCTCCTGGTGGCCCTCGCCCGTTCGCCGTCCCTCCCGACTCCCGCCGTCGGGGCGCCAGGCGGCCCCGGCCCACCACCTACCGCGGTCGCGCCGGCGCCAGCCGATACGATGGGCGGCAGCTTCTCGCGCTCCGGCTCCTTCCCTTTCCTCTCCTCAGGCGCGGCCGCCGCCACCACCAGCGGAGTGGCGGGCGAGGGTACCCGACCCGCCTCACTCATGTCGGGCCGGGCGGCGGGAGCGCCAGGCGGCGGCGGCAGCCTCAGTGCTGCTCCCAGGCTGGCGCTGCTGCTGCCGCCGCGGCGCGAGAGGGCTCTGGGCTGCAGCTTCTGGCTGCCGCCGCCGCCGCCGCCGCCGCCGCCACTCCGCCCCGCCCGCGCCCGCGCCCGCGCCTCTGCGCGCGAGCCCGAAAGGCCGCGCGACCGCAGCTGCCCCGCGCGCCAGGCCCGCGGACACGGCTCCCCACAGCTACCACAGGTATCTTGCTCCCGCCTCCCCGCCCGCCCGGGGCTCGCGCGTCATGGGTCAGGGCGCCGGCGGTAGCCGCCACTGTATCAACCCCGAGGGCCCGGAGAGCAGGTGTCTTGCTCCCGCCTCCCCCGCCCGCCCGGGGCTCGCGCGTCGCGGGTCAGGAGCGCCGGCGGTAGCCGCCCTTGTCAACCCCGAGGGCCCGGAGAGAAGGCGCCGCGGTCGACGCCCGGCCGCCATATTGTTTGCAGAGTGTCGCCCGAGATGACGAGGAGGAGACCCCGCACCGGGACCGCGCAGGAGAACCTGGACTAGGGGCGGATAGTGGGGGAGACAAGTCGAGCCCTGCAAAGGGGCGGACGGGGATAGTCCGAGTGGTACCAGGAGGGCAGGACGTAGGCACAGACTACCCTTCACGGACGGCCCTGGCCTGCGGCGCCTAGTCCCGCGGGCGAGCGCCCTCGGGGTCTGGGCTGGTGGCCTTTTGCCTCTTCTTCCAGGCGCCCACTAAGCTGTCCGCCTTTGGGCCTCTGCCTTCTTATCCTTGCCCGCCTTCCTGAGCCCAGGAGAGGCGACCCCGAGCTCGCGCAGCCCGGGAGACAGCCTTTTCTGGCTCAGCAACCGACCCTTTTGTATACGCCTGGATGGCCTCAACCTACACAGGAAAAGCCTGGAGGTGGGGAGGAGTGCGACGTGGTGGGCCCCCCCTTTCCCCTTCCCCCATAGGATTGGACGGCCAGTCCACACTTTCCATTCCTGTTCCTCTCGTCCCTCTTTGACTGCCAAATCCGCCTCTCCCTTCCCGTCCCCAAGCGCCTACGTTTTGCTCTCTCCCCGCAACCCTTTGCTGTCTCCTATCCATTCCTTCCTTGTTCCTTTCCGTTTATGTTAGAGATGTACATACCCAAACTCTGCTGCACAGTCCTCAATCAAATCATTACAAAATAGGAGTAAAAACTGGAAAGCCGAAGAAGAGAGCTTTTAATTATACCCCCCACCTCCACCACCAGGACACCAAGACAATTTCCTTTCCTTTCTTGTCGCCCCCTCCTTTTCCTCAGTCTATTGGAGTGGTGGAGACACCTGCTGATCTAGGAGAAAGGAGAGAGTAAGAATGCGCTGTATCGCCTATTAAAAGCAAGGGATTTGGATACTCAGGTCTATCAGGTTTTTTGCCGGTGCCTTCGTTATTTTATTCGAGGTTGAGTGAATTTTTAGATCAAGAGTACCTAGGTCCAAATACAAGAACCAAAAATATCTCTGAAACAAACACAAATATGATTTGGGGATATCTATTGTTTACATAATTGGGAGTTATTAGTGTAACTAAATACTAGTTATGGTACTTCATGAGATGAGGTTGCATGTTTTCAAACCCACCATTTTTAACAAGTAGATCTGAAGCAAACAATGTTGCCTTCTAAATTGTGAATTCTGACTTTCATTTATAGCAAGCCTTTCTACTTTAATATAGTTGCTGTTGCCACCTGTTTACTTGTTAATTAACAAAAGGTATAGAATAAGTGCCGTATAGTCAGCAAAAAATATTTCAATGCAGGGAGAATGATGTATCCAGGCATTACTTTGAAGCATCCTCCTCCTTTCTATTAATATTTTTCTTAAATTCTTTTTCAGCATTTTCTTTCCTTCTTAAACTACTGAAATACGCATCCCATAGAGAAGAACATACCATTATTTTCTGCTTTTAGCAGGTCTGTATACTGATCATGGATACAGCAACAATTCAAATGTTATTTTATAAAAGGAAGCCTCTATTTTAACTGCAATTCCAGATATTCTGTGCTGCTAAGTCTAGGTTGATAGAACAAATACTAGAGGGAAAAGTATCTTCTTTCCTATTGTTTTCAACTAGATTTAGTAATTTGCTATAAAAATGCTTGGATGAGAAACCACTTGGATAACAGGCCTTCTGCTTTCTTTTTTCATGTGTGAGACTAAATAAAAGTGTGTCTGTACATGTAGTCACATTCAATAGAACAAAATGCTTAAATATTGGCGAAACAAGGCAAGTCAGAAATGTTAATTTCTGCTACTGCACCAGAGTAGATAATAACCCATTTCTTAACAAATTCTCTGATTAATTCACTTGTGCGTTCCATATGAAAAATGATGATTTATTTATATTTCCTTTTACTTCTTGTTAAATAAATGTCCTCAATCCACCACCTCATCTCTCCCTCATACATAGTCCAGGAGGGGGCTAGAGGGTGGGAATGGGGCCTGCTGGAAAGCTGTAGAATTATAGCTCTGGGGGAACTTGTGGTGTGCTTGAGAGACACGTTCCCAGCTGCCATCAGGGTGCTTTTGGAGATCCAGGTGGGAGAAGACAGTGTGGTAAGGCAGGACATACAGAGAGCTCTGGCCATTCTGTACAGAGGTGTGGAGAAGATGCTTTTTAGCTATTCCTGGTGTCAGAAGTGCAACAGTGAGGGTATCCAAGTATAAACTCATTTGCTTTGGAAAAACTAGGAGTGAGGCAGAAGCAGCATTTCATGTTTCTAGGTCCAGATGGAAAACCTGAGCTCATTAATTATATCTATGGGGAATAGGGTTTTGCAGGGTGGGAGTGAGGGTTAGAGAACTCATTATTTCCCTGGAAGAAAAAGAAAGACAAAATTACAAGGTAATGGAAGGTCGAAATTATAGACAACTTCTATTTTAATTATGTATGGTAATACTAATGTAGTGAACAATAGCAAAATAGGTACACAGGTCACTTAAGAATGGTTTATACCACTAATACCTCAATTTTAGAAGGTATAGTTATGAAATAGTGCAACTTATTTTAATATTTCAACTGAGTGTTGTCCTAAAGTGAACTTGGGGAAATTATTTTAGCGATGTTGACCTTGTTAAAAAGATTGTTAGAACTCTTTCTTAGGTATAATGGTTGTGGATTTTTAAAATTACTATTTAAAAAATAATTTGGCTGGGTGCGTGGCTCATGCCTGTAATCCTGAAACTTTGGGAGACCAAGGCAGGTAGCTCACTTGAGGTCAGGAGTTTGAACCCAGCCTGGCCAACATGGTGAAATCCTGTCCCTACTAAAAATATATATATTAAAAAAATTTAGCCAGGCGTGGTGGTGGACACCTGTAATCCCAGCTACTTGGGAGGCTGAGGTGGGAGAATCGCTTCAACTCGGGAGGCGGAGGTTGCAGTGAGCTAAAATTACGCCACTGCACTTGAGCCTGGGTGACAGAGTGAGACTCCATCTCAAAACAAAACAAAACAAAAAAAACTTTTCTTTATTAAAAAAAAAAGATGCTTTGTCATTACAGAAAAACAGAAAATACAGATTAGCAGAATCATTTAAACTAACTTTAGATACTAAGACCTTGCTCTGTATCTTTAAAAAATCTCTTGTATCTGTCTACACACACCCCCCCCCCCCCACCCCACAGTGTTTCTTCCTTTGTTTTTATAAAAGTTGAACATACTGAAACACTGTTTGGAGTCTTTGCAACTAATTCTTTAGAATAACCCCAGTGATGTGATAAATCTTTAGAGGATGATTTTTTTTTAAATTGCACAATGCTATACAGAGCCAAGACTGAAGAATAAAGTAGATGATGATCAAGCTTTGTATTTTTAATCAAACTTCTCTTGAATCTGTTCTCTGCCTAGATTCCCATTGCCATTGACCTAATTAAGGCCCTTAACATCTCTAACCCCAATTATTTCTGTAGCCTGGCAACTGGTCTTGCCTTCAGTTTCTTACCTGCTCTAATGACCACCAGAATGACCTCTTCAGAATATATAGTTTCTAGTGAGCCCTTTGTTTTAAAATACCGTAGTAGTCTTTCAAAGCCTTTATGCTGAAAATTTTCCCCCTAGTGTGGCATTCTGCCGAATTCTTTGCAAAAGAAGGCATTTTTCTTAATGTCCTAAATAGAATCATTCCTTTCTTTCTGCTCCCAGAGCATGTTGTACATACTTACCTTTATAGACCTATTACATTACATCTTAGTTTTTTGTTCCCCAAATAAGTCATGGCACAGAGGAGAAAGACTATGTCTGATTAGTCCTTGAGTCCCTACATGTAGCATACTACCTGGAGTGTGCTATTGAGGAGGCACTTAGCAAACCCAGAAGAAACAAAACGATGTTTTCTTAAAGTGGTTTGTACAGGGGCTCTGAAATCTTTTCCAAAGATAAATTACAAAAATGCTCTGAGTGATGAACTGTACTCATTCAGATGATTTGGTCTTGATATTGCTTCTTTAAAATCTTAATCTTCTAGAGCAGTGCTATCAGTAGAACTTTGCATACTAGGGGAAATGGTCTGTATCTGCACT